AACAATGGAATTATCACCCATGATTGTAGCAGAAACTCAACAAATCACGCAGAGTATACAACAGAACACAGTACAAACACAAATATGGCAGATGCACGAAGACAACAGAGGCACAAACACAGTAGAAGCAGATGCACGAACACAGTAGAGGCACACAGTAGAGGCACGAACACGACAGAGCACACAGCGGAACACGGCAAAGGCACAGACACAAAAACCCTAAAAGAAATTAGGGCACACAGTAGAACACGGGTGGGCATAACACACACAGGTCACCAGAAAGTCGGCTCTGATGCCAAGTTAAACAATATGGTAGAATATTTTCAGATGTATTTCATTCTCCGAAATGAGGTATTTATAATACAAGGTTACAAACCTTAGTAGGGTCAAACTGGGAAAACAAGTGGAATCCTAATTACATAATATCTATATAAAAGGAAATAAATAAAATAATATCCTAATAGAATAGGATATCTCTCGCTAACAAAATATTTATAAAAACTAAATTTTCTTATATAACCAATCATCAACATGATAATAATTTAATAAAATAAGTCATGTAATATAGATTGAAATTTAGATACATTCCTGGATTTGAATTGAGATTTGATTGAATATGACTATATGATTTTGAGTGGTTTTTATGAATTTAGGAATTAGGGTTTTCGCTTTTTGGTGTTGAAATTCCTAAAATTGAAAGAATAACAAAAATTGTCAAAGGATTGAAAAAAGAACCAAAGAGATTGATGAATGATGATGATTACTTACTAGGAAATCAGAGTTTAAGAGAAAGAAGAAGCCATGAAGTTTTTTTGTTGTTTTTTTTTAGTGGAAGAAAGTATTTTGATACTTGAACAAAAGAGATTGATATATACTGTTGCTAGTTAGCTTAGTTTGATGTTTTTTTTTTTTTTTTTGAGGTTCAGGTCTTCTATTAAGGGATATGCGCTAGAAAGCCAACTCTGCCACATGCACTTTTGTGCCAAGATATAGCACACTAAAGTATATATACAATTCTTGTAATATATATATAATATAAAGAATTTTTTTTCGGAGACTCTCAAAAATAAGGGGCCCTGTGCGGTGGCACCACTTGCACCACCCCCTGGGTGGAGAGAATGCAAAGGGGGAGAGAGACGGAGGGATGAGAAGTTGCAAAAAAAAATGTATGTTCATTAAAAAAATATTTATTTATTTAATCCACATGTCACAATGTGATTGGACATGTGGACTTACTTATCTTCCACGTCACACTTAACAGAATTTCTAACGGCAGGGACCATTTGTGATAAAAAGTCTTAATGTTAAGGACTATTAATGTCATAAAAAAACTCAAGGACAATTTTTGTAAACCTAAGGGACCATTTGTGATAAAAACCCAAAAATAAATAATAAAAATAAGGGTAATTTTCAGTTTACTACAGTCAAGTTTACCGACTTTTAGAGTTCGATACAACAAGTTTTTTTGGTCTTAGTTGAGTACAAAAAGTTGATTTTCTTACCACTTTCATACCTACTGTTAGTCTTGCAGTTAACAAATCTATTAACTGCTAACGCGGCAATAAATATGCCACATAGACCCACTCATATGGTGCCATATGGTCCACATATATTATTAAATAAATACATTAATTTAAAAAACTTAAATTTAAAATAAATAAAAATAAAACCATCTCGTCGCCTCCTCCCATCCCCCCCCATCCACCGTCTACCACGTCCCAACGAACCCTACCGCCCCATCACCCCACCACCCTATGCCTCCCAACCATCACCACCCCACCTTACCACGACACCCACCTGACTAATTTCATAATTTTAGAGACCCGGTGAAACCCAAGGTCTCAATCGCAATTGTGAGCTTCAATCGTAGAAAGCGTTAAAACCCACAAACACAGAAAGGGGGAAGAGAGATGCATAGGGTGGATGATGAGTTGGGGTTCATGACTATCGAATAGAGAGAGGGGAAGAGAGAGAATGAGGAAGGTGTTGTAGCAACCAATATATTTGAGTTGGGTCGAGTCTTCTTCTGGTCGTACATGTACTACTTCTCTAGATTCTCTCACATGCTTCGCACATTCTTCACGATCCAACACGAGTTCTCTCACTCGATTTAGGTTTTAGAGATATTGTTGACGACGCTCGTTTACTTGGTGGCGGTGACGGATCTATAGAGGAGCAAGGGTGGTCAAGTGACCCCTGCAATCTCTGGAATCTGCCATTGAAGGGGATAAAATTGACCCCTGCAAAGTGTTCGAAAAAAGTCCCC